GTAAAATCATTGAATCGCAACGGGCAATGGAAGTATGTGGTAATAGAATTCATTAACATATTCAACACATTAAAATACTGGACTTTAAAAACTGGAAATGTTTGTTATTGTAATGTTGTTTTAACACAGAATATTATGCGATTTTCTGAGGTATAATTTATTCTTCTTTTTTTTCTAGATGCATGTATTTGTAAAATGTCCCTTTATTCAGTCTTTCTTTGCATTAAATGTCACTTTTTTCCAGGTTCTCCCTGCACATAATGCTAAAATAAATAGTTTGACATTTTCAGATGCTTAAGTTAGACTGGCATTGCTTTCACGTCTGTATGCTTAACATGCAGTTTTAACAACCTGATTTTGTTTGACTTTTGCAAAATCCACCTAACGTACTACTATATGAACCTTGTTTAATCCAGTCTTTATTTTAATGCACACATCTATCCAGTTGTATTAACAAATACTTTTACAGGACGTTGTGTGGTGGATTATTTCCTGGATGGGAACAGTTATGATTCTGGGAAGTTGTATGTCCCATAAAGTGGCAAATTAGTCCTTTCATCTTGATGTTTGCATTGATTGAATAAATATGGTAACATGATTTGCTGCCATTATGTCATAATATATAATACAGGGGATGTGTTTGAGTGCACCTTCTGTCACACTCACCTGGAATGAGTGTTTTCATGTGTTGTCTTTGGTCCTCAGCCTTCTTCCTTCTCTCTTCTGCTCTCTCAGCTACCTCCTTTTGCTTCTCTTTGATGACTTGGAAAATGTGCTCTTCTACCTTGTAGTAACTGCCACCATTGTACCACACCATCTCTTCGATCTTCTGCAGCAACTTTGTGACCTGAGATAAGTCACTCTTGTCCTTGTTGTTAAATACATGGTACCTATTCAAACACTTTTCTATTAACCACTTGAGTGCCTGTCCTTCACTTTCAATGTGTTCTTCAATTGTCTTTTCCCCGAGGTAATCCCCGCAGGTGAACAGCACCATCGTGTATCGCCAAACCCGTTCACCTAAGAGCTTCATGTGTTCCTCCACACTCGTCTTCTGCTCCACAGAGAAAGCCGAGTCTATTGGAATAACGAGGAGAAAAGCATTTGGTCCAGGCGGACACTTGGATGCATTGAGCTTAAACCTTTGCTTGTCCCCCTCTGGGATCTCAGCAAGGGAGAGGGAGCCGCTCCAACCGGGAGCATCAATCACAGTGAGCTTCCTGCCGTCCACCAATCCATGTCTCACTTCAGACTGAGCTGTTCTTGTTCGGCCACACTCAAATCCCTCCTTTCTCAGAATGGTGTTACCAGATGAACTCTTGCCAGCCCATCTACTCCCTATGAGTATGACCCTGATCTCAGTCTCCTCTGAAAAACAAAGAAAATATTGAAACTTTTTTGTTGCAGATAAAAAGAAATAATACTGTGTTCTTATTAGGATTGTGAAACAACTTATTTGGATTGATGATAATGCAGCTTGTTGTGACCAGATTGGCACAGAAGCTTTAAAATAGAAGGCGGGCTTATCTCCTCAAAATGAGGAGCAGAATAGAATCATTCAGCGTGACATTGTTATCACCACAGTTGTCTCCACTGCTTTAGATGATTGACACAAGAGGAACGTTCTAAGAAATTTGTGCATGGGAGAGTTATTTCTGACCCTTTCATTTCTGTCTGAGGAATAACAAGTCAAAACTAAAATAGTGAAACATTTTTAGAATGACCCCGAACCAAAATGAATAAGTGATCAGAAGCAACAAGAGGAAAAAGAGAAAATATTAATTCAGATAAGAATGCCTCAGTCCCTCTTATTGACAAAATATTCAGTTGAAACAGCTGAAAAGCGTAGGCTATATGATGCAATGCAGTGCAACACACAAATGATCTTTTCTGGCATCAAATATATAAGCTCAGACGATACTATAGAAAGCAACGAAGAAAACTGCAGTGTCAAAACACGATTAAGAATTTAACCAAAAGCAGAATTTTGCAGGGCTGTTTTTCTTAGGAAAGTTTTTCTCTCAACTGTATTGACATATACAAAGCTTCTTGGGCGGAGCTCTCATAAGGAGGAATGTTTGTCAAAAGGTTGCTGGGAACTCAAAATGTTCTTTCCTTCCGGGCACAAGGAAATTCTGGCATAACTGGTTTAGTGGCATGTCTCCTGGCTAAAAGCAAATGCCCAGACTGGTGTTTTTGGTTTTGTTTCTGTTTTTGTTAGCTAGTGTCTAACAGGGCTCTCAAACCTACAACTACATGCTCCAATTGCAAACACATGAATTTTGTCTATGACCTCTAGTTATTGAATCCAAATCCAAACAAATACATTTAATAACAATTTAGGAATGTGTTTAACAGATTTCTTTCTTTCACATAATTGCTTCTGACTAACTGGTATTCACAATCTGCAGTGAAAAATTAGCAAACAACAAAAAAAGCATTGTGGATAGACTTTATAAGTTGTTTCGCCTTGTGATAAGCCTCAAGTACATTTTGCAGCTCCATGCTGATTCATTTTTATTCAAATTGCTTCAAAAAAGTAAACAATATTTCTCAATTAACTTACCAAGATTGGCTTCCATTTTTCCTACTTCTGTTTTAAAAGTGCCTGTGAATGGTCCCAAGCTCTTCACTGAGGTCGAGTGGATAAAGTCTGTATTCAGGCATATTTTAGTACGAGTTCTTGCAGCCTTGACTGCATAAAGTGTGACTGAGAGGGCAAAGTGTTTGTATCTAAATCATCACAGCAGTGCAGAAATCCAGACTAACTGGTTTCAGACAGGTAGTGAGCGGTAAATGTTATGTCAGTTTAGCCACAGTAAAGCTACATAACTACACTACATCATTCAATAGAAATCATTACATTTGCTTTTTAAAAAACAATAAAAAATCTTACTATAGCTTATGCAAATAATGAGTGTAGTGGGTGTTTTAGCACCAAAGGCCACAAATAAAAAATATATTGATTTTTAATTGAAGAAATTAATTTAATCAAATCCAAAGATAAAATGTTTGTCTACATATACAGTATATACATGTATTTCCAGTGATGTACTTTCAAATTACAAAACCATTACATATTCAAGGATGAGTCATCCAATGTGCCGTGCTCCTGTAATTATCCTGACAGACACATAATGATGTTGGGTCTCCACAAAAAAGAGCATCATTCAAATCCAGAGCATAAATGAGCCTCTAGGGGATTGTGAAATTATAAACCTGACTTTCACTAAGTCAGCTGAAATGGAATAGACTATTATTTGTATGCAGCATAGGCTAAAGAGTGGCCATGATAACTTCATGGTTTCCATTTGTAGTTGTTATCCGTCTTTAAATCATTAAAGTCAGGCATAAGACAATCAAAAATACACGAGTTGTAGAAAACAAAAGGTAATTTGGAATAGAATACAACAAAGAAAATGACACCATCTAAAAGCATTTTAAAATGAGAGACCTGTAAAATTTAAATTACTGAAATAATAATTCGATACCATATGGTGGACTTATACGACAGATGCTTTTGGCTCTTTATCACTCTCTATTAATATTTATTTGGCACTAAGGAAGTTCTGTTTGTTTGACTGACTGGCAATAGCTAAACAACTGTTCTTACATCATGCTAGCAGCGTTATGTTGACTGAACTACCACAGGGGATCACCTTATGCTGGAGCTTACAGAAAATACTAAACTTGGTGTAAACTCTAAGTGCCAGGGTATATCTGCTTATCCAACAGATTGGACATCTCCATCCACGACAGGTCCCACTGCACTTCCGTCACGTCCTGCTTAGTTGCAGGAACCGGCACTGCTGGCACGTCTTCTTTGGAAAATGGCCAACGTTTCCAAGTACCCAACATCTGGTATCTTAAAAAAAGAAACAAATGATAATACCTGAAGCATTTGACAGCTTGTTTGATTTTTGAGTCATGCTAAGACATCATCTGTCTAACAACATATATACAACTCCTGGGTACTGTAACTTACCTGTGGCGATAAAAAAGCCAGACCGATAGAGGAATAAGAAACAGAAATACAAGTCCAACAGACAGGATAATCCATTTCCAGTAGCCTGTTGACAAGAACAAATAGAATTTGTTTCAGTGCAAAAAGGCTCAACCAGGTTGTACCTGAAAATACATTACTGTTCCACATCATTTAGTCTGATTTCTCATTAACAGCTGAAGAAACCTGCTAATGGGATGCAAAGTAATGTGATTCACAGGGTGCTTTTTTTCATTGCTCGCATACCTTGAATTACTGTTACATCTACTACAATAATCAGTCAAAAAAAAAGGACACAGTTGAATAAGTAGGCAAATTAATACTCGAATTATATTTTTATGGAGTGTTACCAATATAAAAATAGCACTTAACGTTTTGGGTTTTCATTTATGACTTTCTGTGATGCATGTGGAGCACACAACAAAGGTGGGCTCACTTCTATTCAGAAATGTGGCTAACCCAATCAATTATGGCAAATAGCACAAACATTACCAGTACTGTTTCTAGCTTATGATTGTGTGAACAGGCTAATGTTGCCCAGTGTTGAGCGAGAAATACAGAGCTCTGAAGCAGACCAACTCTAATCTTAGATATAGGATGAGATGCCAGCATCTGGCCTCAAACTTGCAATTTTTATACTAATAGTTTGTCTAACCTCTGGCTTATGGTTACTTTCTAATGGTTGTTGCTTCTACTAAGTCATCCTGATACAAAAGGCTAAAACTAGGCTGAAGGGATATCACTAGCATAGGGATATCACAACAAGTAAATTTTAGATATTTTTGCCAGTGTTATTATCATAATTTGCCTCATGCTGAAAACCTTTTATAAGGTTTTTACTATGAAGGAAATTATGCGCAGCCAGGCTTTCTTTGCAATAGCTGGCTTGAGAAAACTTAAAATCCCAGTCAGGTTTACTGGATATCACAATGGTACTTTTAATCCAGCTTGCATTTCACATAAAATATTCTTCTTCTGCTGCACAAAATGATCCATATGAGTGCTACCTACTCCAGTCAGAGACATTATTGGAAGATGACGATGATAAAATGGTGATAAAAATGTATAAAGAACATAAAAAAAGCAGCAGGAAATTATTAATCTTGTAATTTTGCGCACAGAGCAATAAAACAAACATTTTAAGTTGAATTAATTATTTTAATCCTATGTTCATTTTTAACTTGATGGCTGCAATTTAAAGCTCTGAAACTGTAAACATTTAAAGATTAAAGGTTAGTGTTCCATAGCCTCTAAAGGGAGCTGTCGACAAAGGTTGCTAACTGATCTTAATCTCCCTTCGTAGTACACCTCTCTAATGGCTCATTAGGAAACGACAAAGTTGGCCTGGTATCGTCCCAGGTACTTGTCATTTATTTGTAGTGTTTTGGTTCTGAGGAAATCCCAAAGTTTTATTTGACATTATTAGAAACATTCTTATGACTCTATCTCCTGCTCCGACTAGTCACTCAAATAAAGAGTGTAAAAACTTTCTTTGCTTCTTTGCTAATAAGATCCAACATTTCAGAGCAAACATTACCCATCCTTTCTCTCTTCTCGCCACTTGCCTTAACCGCCCATGCGTCTTTGAGAGCTTTGCACTGATATCTGTGAATGCTCTCATCAATTTAGTTGATAAAATGAAACCTTCCTGCTGCCCACTTGACATTTTACCAACCCCACTATTAGGTAGTGTGTTCTCAGGATAATTAACATCTCATTTAACTCTGCCAGTGTCCCTTCCTATTTTAAACAGGCTATTAGAGGCCCTCTTAGAAAGAAAAAAAAGTGACCTTTTCCTCCATCACAATTTTAGACTGTTTTCAAAATTGCCTTTTATTTCCAAATTTTTTTAGAAAAGATGGTTTCCAGCCAACTTATGGATGCATAGAGATGCAGGTGAAAATTTAGCCCTTGTTCTGTCAGATATCTGTGTTGCCTTTGACACAGTTTATCATGAATCAGTCATGAGTGAGGATCTATGGGTCAGCTCTAGATTTGTTTTCCTCTTATTTGCCTTGAGCTGCTTCTGCTAACATTCTGTCTTCTCTGGCCATTTTATCTTGTGGTGCATCCCAAGGTTTGCTTGTGGGAACTATTTTATTTACCCTGTACATGCTTCCACTAGGACATATCCTGAATGACTCTGAAGATAGTCCATACCATTGTTATGCAGATGATATTCAGTTGTACATATTAAACTCAAACTTATAGCCAAATCAATGTTCTAAAAACTTAATGGAATTGAAAACTGTTCTTATTTGTGCCCCTGATAACTTCGTCCCCAGAGTAATTGAGAATCATGGACCCATTTCAGCTTCACTTCTGCCCACAGTGAGAAATCTGAGGACACTTTTGATCAGGCATTCAGTTTTAAAAGGATCTTGGCTGTCTTGTGCAAACGTATTTTTATCATCATTGCCTGTCTCAGATATATTGTCTCTCAGTGTGAATTGAAAATGATCATTCATCTTTTTATTTCAACATGATTCGATTATTGTGATTCATTATTCCTACTCTGAGCAAATCCTTCCTGGATCGCCTGGAAATGGTCCAAAAGGCTGCTGTGAGGCTGAATCCTCTAAAAGCTCTCATCAGAGTCAAATTCTTCTTCTTTATTGTTCAGTTTACAATTTTGGTGATCACTTTTAGACTTCTTAAAGGTCAGATGCCTCCCTTTATTCGTGAACTACTGTTTAATAGTTTTATCTTATATTATATTGTACCTGTAAAGCACTTTTGGACTTTTGTTCTTGAAAAAATCTATATAAATAAACTTAATTACTTACTAACTTATTGTGTTTCTATACCATTTTTTTCCTAGTGACTTTGGTGTTTGTGTTATCTCCTTTGTCTTCTTTAACCCCTTTTATGAGTTTTGGTGACTGCTCTTCCTTGTGTGCATCAAACCCTTAACCTCCTCCTTTGCCTTCCTACTGGTGGCCTGATTGTTCCCACCTGTGTCTTGTTCCCACCTGTGATTGTTCCCACCTTGGAGTCAGCCTTCTGTGTGCATGCAAAGGCTTGGATTTCCCTTTTTTACTTCGCCTGTTCATTCCATGGGTTTTTATTTCTTCTCCCTTCTTATGAAATCACATTTCTACCTTTTGGAGCTTATCTTGGGACTTTTGTTCAGCCAAAAAAGGCTGTAAGGCTTGATGCTTCTGTTACCTAAAAGGCATTTGAACAAAATGTAAAAATATAAACACAAATCATTACGTTGAGATTATACACCTGACCTGGGGTGTCGCTCTTGGGTCTCACAGATAACCAGCTCTCTGTACTCTCCATCTTTAGGGCCGGGGATGCACACTTGTAGGAACCTTCGTCTTTCTTTGTTACGTTCTCAATAGTCATGTTTATCTCATTGTTTGGACTCGAAGGCATCACAGAGACGACTGCTCCGTTTTTGAAGAAGGTTGTGTCGTTGTAGTTTGTTGTTTTGTACTGACAGTACAAAATTACTTTATCCCCCTCAAATACAGGGAAGGCTGGAGTCTTCATGATGATATTGTCATCTGTGGGATAAAGATAGTACACATAAATAACTCCTTACTTTTTTGTCACACATAAAACAAAAAATGCTCTCCCTCATACATCACATCTAAAACCCCACCATGTTATTATTTGTCTCTGGTGTGTTTTCCCCATTTTGTCCAGAGGCAGTAATACTCACAGCTTGCTGAGATCCTGACTGAGTTGCTGCGACCCTCAGGTCCCTCACACCAGTACAGCCCACTGTTCCCAATGGTAGCATTGAAGACACACGCATCAGTCCTGTTTGTGATAACAGCACACTCTAGTGGTGAACATTGGTCACCTTGGACAGCTTTTCTCCTCCGTGTACAGTCTGGAGAGTAATGCCTAAGCTTCCAGCCTTTGGCGTTCGTCTGAGATGAGGGGCAGCGCATACTGAATCTCTCCCCACTAAAGATGTATCTCGTGCTGGGAGCCAGAATCAGCGAGGGAGGGGTCAGCTCTGGAGTTGAAAGACGCAAAAAGATTAGAAGAAGAACCAGAGCACTTTCATACTGTAGCAACTGGCAAATGTTTCCATGTTAAAGTTTTACTCATGAATATCATTATCATAAATGCACTTGCGGGCCTTGTTTGGCTGCAGAATAAGTGGCTCACATGGGAACACAACCGCTATAACTACATATCTCTGGAAATTACATTATAATTATTGCACGATTACATTTCATGCACCGCAGCAATGTGCAGTAATGAAAGAAGAAATCATATTCTGAAGTTCAGCTGCAGCAGGGACACGGGAATCCACAGATGACTGGTACATTTTGTCCTATTGAGGTAATTGACTTTTCTTATGAAACCCAACTTAATTTTCATACCACTTAAAATTTGATACAGGCATTCACGTGCCCCTTATGATCAGTTTGGTGATTCCCTCAGCTTTTCTTATTGGAATCTAAATCATACAAAACTTATTACTTACTGATCTGCCTTAGCTTTCCTTTGTGCAGAGAATACTGAATGAACATGACAGGTAAAGTGGGTTTACTTTGCATTTCCTAATTTTCTGTCATATAAATAATGTAACAGTGGTAGATGCTCATAATAAAGGTTTGAAGAATGGTTTAAAATTGAAATCAGAGTGTGTCCGTATAATCTTTGTGAAGCAGAATCTTAGCCTGCAGACTACCTGAAATGCTAGCAGATCTTTATAATATCATAGAGTGGATATCATTAATATGGTCATGTCAGACACACAGCTTGGGCTGAACCAAAATCACACCCACATTCTGGTTTAACATTATGTTTTCAAGGGTCAGCCAATCAGAAGAAAGTTGGCAAAGAGGGAGAGCGTTCTTTAGGAGAAAAGAAGATAAAACAGCATAATTTAGTTGAACTGAAGGGTTGCACTAAGGCCCAGTATATGATAAATAAGGATTATTTTGAACTGTAAACAATCCAAAGATTCTTGAATATAGAAATTAGCATAATGTTTTCCCTTGTAAAAGTTTGTTTTTTAATTAATTTGAATATTTTGAACATTATGATCTTAATCTCGGTTAAACCAGCAAGAAGATTTGGGCACACAAACAATACACAACACAGCAGATGTTGTAGCTGCTCACCTGACACGATGAGCTCCACCGGCTGGCTGGATGTTTGTCCTGCTTTGCACCTGTAGCTGCCCGCGTCCTCCCTTGTTACAGCGGTGATGAAGTAGCTGTCATTTGAGACCACATGCCTGGGGTTCAGGGTCAGAACAGTTTTTGGTTTGTCCCACTCAAAGCCCCACTGAGCAGTGGAGTTTGACTCAACTGTGCACTTCAGCAGCACAGATTCTCCGAGGTAGACTTTTGACCCTGGGGGCCACACGGACACAACAGTCTTTAGAAGACCTGCAGGAGAACAATAACTCAGTTGGCGTCTTTCTTCTGCTTATGACAGACATATTGTACTTATGTGTGATGATAACATCTGCCGTACCTTGCAGCGAATCAGCTTGGAGAACAAATGCAGCCATACCTGAAATACGGACAAAGTGTTTCACAGAAACAGTCGATTTTTAAAAATATATATATATATATTCTACCACAGATTGTTCCTGTCACATCAGTGACATTTTGGGTACAGTATGTTTTCTCTATTCTCTGTCATTCATGAGTAAAATGTATCAGCATGAACACCACAGGCAGCTCAGATGGTTTATTCCCACATGGCTGCATGCCAGAGAGTCAGTCATGGTCCACTGCTGTTTTTTATATTATATAATCAAGACATAAAATATATATATATATATATTTTTTTTTTTTTAAAGTAAGTGTCTACAAGTAAACTTAAAACATCTAGAAGCAGTAAACCTGTGCCTATAAGGCATAACAATCTTTCGCTCTTCTAAGGAGTTGCTTTGAAGACCATCTGAGCCACATCTCTTTGCTAACACTCGCAGTCACGGGACTGCCACACAGTTTGACAGAGAGCAGAGCTTCCTATGCCTTAATGAGCAAACTCTTTAGACAGTTATCATCCCCATGGGAACAGAAGGAATGTACACAGATTTGCTGTATTTTCCTGTTACACACCCACGCTATACACGCACATATACAACAGTGTCACATAGTGCTACTACGACCATATAGTTTTAAAATATAACTCATGGCTGCCTGGGATGGAATAGCTTGCACAACAATTTGACAGCTCAGTCCAAATCATTTCCATTAGCCCTATTCAGATTCTGGCTGGTGCACATCATTTTAATTTAACACTGTCTGAAAGTCCCTGCTGCAGGCTAACAGCCTAGTAAAATTTATAACCCCGCATACCATACTACTGATATCTGCATCAAATAAGAGTGCTCGGCTTTGGCTCTGTGTCAGCACTACTCTGACAGCAGAGTGCAGATGCCTCTTAAACTGCTGGGACATGGTTTTGTCCACCGGTACCAAGAGTTTTGTCATGACAACGCTCGTTTTTTTGGAATTCTGCCCAGCAGAGGTGTGACAGAAGGTGTGTGACAGTCAATCAAGTGTTATCTGTGATACTCACCCAGCAGCAGGAAGATATGGATGAGGTTCATTTTGTCAAGAACTGAATGTCCAGAATTAATATACAACTCCCCTCCTGTTCTTTGGAAAAGAAAAAGGAAAAAGCTTTTGAGATTTCCACAGTTAAAATGATGTATATTTCAGAAGTCCCTGTTATTTTACGGAGCCGGTTTTATTTCAGAGGCTATAAGACAGAGACTAATTGGATCTCATAGGAGGGGTTTCACCCAACTCTCACAGCAAACCACAGACAGAGATTATCATCTTGGTGGAGATATTTCCTTCCTCCGTCAACTAGTTAACAGGTGGAGCCTTTAGGCAGACAAAAAAGCGGAGAGGTGAAGATTTAAACCCACAGCACATCCAATTTATTATCAGCAAGGAGCTTAATTTTCCCTTTCTTCTTTTTTATCTTCTGTTGTTGTGGTCTGACCTTACAAACTTGCTGCAGAGGTGAAAGTATTTCTAATTTCTTCCCCTTCTTTGATCTGTGTTGAATCATGGTGTGGCTTTTTTGGGCCTCCTGCCAATGCTAAAATCCTGCATTTTCACATTTTTATTTACTCATTCAGGTTATTTTTTGTTATCTTTTGTTTGCTCTATTTATAGCCTCCCTTTCGGTCTACTGCTTACGGCTGTGGATGCTCATTTTCCCTTTTGGTGAAAATTTATTTATAGTCCCTGTAATCCAGTCAGTTACAGTGCGATAAAGTTTAGTAAATTGATTGAGGGAAATCTCAATCCCCCAGTCTGCAAGTTTATAGTCAGCCTGCGGCACGGACCAGAACATTGGTTCGGAATGAAATATCTCAACAAATACGAGATTGTTTGGATATCCACAGAGCCCACAGGATGAATCATAATAACTTTGGTTTGGTTTGGTTAATGAATTTGGATCCCTAGAGTTTTAGATCGTACCTGTTATGCCATTGCTTATTTTTTTGCCATATTCATACTGTTACCGTGGTGCTCATATTAAACACCTTTCATTTTTCAAATAATGAGATCAGTGTATGTGCAAGTAAAACATGTGAGCCAAAAGCTCAGGCTTCAGACTGCTTTGAATGTTCAGTTACTAGCAGTCTTCAACAACAATGATTGTCCCTAACATGCATCTCAGGGACACATCTGGCTATAACCCAGCTACTGTTCAACCCAGACAATCAAAGTGAGGGTGGCCTTAAAGGGAGGATGGCTTGTCTCAGTAAGTGAATGAACTAGGGCGGCTGCACCGAGGCCCAGGCAATATAAAACACTTTAAACTGCAGCTCATGCACTGTCTAAAGAATAAAAACGTAAATAGACATAAGACTACTGCCACTTGGAGGTTAGTCCTGTGGAACATTTGCAGAGCTATTCCATTCATACTTCCTGGATGGTGATTGACTCTAATAATTTCATGAATTTCATGATTTTCACCTGAAATGCCTCGAGCTCTCAGACCTAGACTCAGCTTGACCCCTTCAGAATAAATTGTGATAATTTCAGAGACCTCAAAATTTCCATATGGAATCACGTTTTATTACCATTTACTGACTTTCCCATCAACTGCAACTGTCCAGTTCGGAAACGTAAGTTAACTGAAGAATAGCTCTACCTGGATAAATCTGATAAACAATGTTCACTGCTTAGAATCGCTGACAAGCTCCACCTACACCCATCCCGTTTCCTGCCTCTGCTGTGGAGTCCCAGGGACAACCAACCGTGACACCTGCAGGGTAAATCTTTTCTTATTTTTTAAGTGGCAATCTCTATTTTGGGTGTAACATTTGTTTCTGCTGCTTTGCATCTTCTGATTTCTAACTTGGGCGTGCTCTCACAGGTAGCCTAACCACAGCCTCATTATCCCAGAGTGATCCCCGCCTCCTCCTCCTCAACATCATCACTCCCTCCACCTCCCGTCTCTCCCACCATCCAGCCTCCCGACATCCAAACGGTTTCTTCCAGGAAGCGCGTCGGGCAGTCGGGTGCTCTGCTGGAATGCCTGGGAGAGAGAGCATTCTTTCTGTCCATTTCTAAGAGAGAGAGGGAGAGGGAGACATTGGGGAGGAGGTGGAGGAGAGGAAGAGGAGGAGGGGTGGCGATAGGAGAGAGGAACAGACATGGCTTCTAAAGAGATCACTGCCTCTGGTTTCGTGAGTGTGAGCAAGGATATCACAGGTGGGTAAAGACCGCCGCTTGGTTATTTTGCTCCCGGTCTTGTGTCGGTGTGCTCGCGGTCGCCCCGGGCGCGTGTGTGGTCAGGCTCCTGATGCTTTTTTCTCCGCGCGGCTGTCGGAGGCTGCGACCGTACAGACGCATTGGATGCTTGTCATGAGCTACACCTTTGCAATCAGTCCCGAACCTTGCCGGGGCGGCTTTTTTCTTTCTTCTTCTTTCCCCGCGCATGTGAATTAGTTAATCTGCAAATTAATTATTTACAGTGCAGGGAAATTAGCTTTAAGCCTGCCCTCTCTGGGTGGATCAGGTAATAAAAAACCCCAGCCCTAGGCCAAAGAGGGAAAGGGGCGTTGTGGAAAATAATGGTGTGTACTCGTGGGGTCTGGTACCGTCTTGTTCCCTGCACGTTTCTTTTTCTTTTTTTAAAAAAAAAAACCAAGACACCCATTTCACAATGAGATTTCCCCCTCTCTAACCCTCAACTCTTGAGTATTTCATCTTTGTTTTTCTGCAGCCTAACCAGCCAGAGCGCTGCTGCTGATTGCACGCGTGCATGCGTGTGTACGCGTGCGTGGGAAAGTGAAGAGAGGGGCACTGATACAGGCAGATGTTCACCGTATCTTGCCAACAAAAATGCATGAGCTATACAAACTCAACAGCGCGACAGAATGCACAAATATTTACTCCCCTTTTCTCAAACAGCAACAGCTTACATATGTCAAAGTCACAGCAATGACTCGATTTCAATATCACACACGCGCGCAAAAGCACTGACACATGCACCAGCAGCACACATGCTCAGGGTAGCAGGGACTCTGCTGCTGTGTTAATTACTCCTAATGGCTCTATTAGGCTCACTGTGATGATTAATCCAGTGGAATCCCTGCCTCTTCATTCAGCCACCTGCCGGGCGGCTGCACCACCTCATCCCGCCTTTCCTGCACTGATTGACAGGTGGAGAACCTGCATGCACTAGGTCACTGGAAAGAGCCTTCCTAACAGCTGGATTGACTTAAATTATCAGGTCTCAATTCTTGGTTCGCATAGCTCTTATTAATATGGTGCAAAATGTACTAAAAGTGTCAAAAACTAGTCCTCTTGTTCCAGGAAGGATCCTATAAGTGTCATCATGTTATCTGATTATTAATTGTCCATGCAAAAAGGTATGAGCGTCATTTACGTCTTGTGTCTGGTTAGGGTGATGATACCTAAATGATTTATTTAGGAAAATGTAGCTTCATCACAGGTCATTCATATAAGAGTTGAGATGCAGTAAAGTTAAAAGTGCTGTATTTTTGCTGAAATTTGATAGATTAGAAGTGTAATGGGACATTAAATCCAAATATTCGAGTAAAGTATGTACATAATCTGACCAAATGTACATAACTGCAATGGAACCTGTTCCCCTTAAGACTTATGAACACCTAAAAATAGAAATAAATAGCGCCAGGGAAAGAATTGTTTGCATCACTGTCCATTGTGACTGTATCAACTCCACTGCCCAATCCCAACAACCCAGCCTCTGTATCGATTTCCTCATAAACTTGTCAGTTGGAAGCTCTGGAGCCAGAGTAATTGAGATGCTGAATCATGTAATTTCTGCTAGCGACTGTATGTGTCTGCGATAGTGTGTCAGTGCTATGTGTTCCCAAACTGTGAGTAAGATGCTTCTTTTGGCGCATCACGGACGTTATGTGCTGTATATACAAGTCAGGGGTCACAACACCGACAGTGACACTGTTTGACAGGAACAGTTCTCAGTGAATCATAGACACTGATGCTCAAATGTGTTATATTGCTCCTGTGAGTAAGAAAATAACACTGAAGCATATTGTGACTACCTCAAAGGAAATACCTCGGAGGCAAAACATTGTTATGTATCACAGTCATTCAGTAATTAATCCACGAAATCGTGTAACTTCCCACTGAGTGCCTTTGTGCTTTGGAGCACAACCTAAAACCCTGTCAATCGTTCTGCTTCAGTGTTACGTGCAGATTATATGATTTTGCATATAAGAGGTTTGTTTCTCACGTATAATCATGATCCTGTCAACGCGGTTATTTTTATCATCTAAAATGCCACAACAGGTCAGCGTACATTGCAAGTCTGACACATCCCTCAGCTAATGTTGAGCTGGGATATTTGTACAGTAATCTGAAGTTAAAGGATCCGTCCTTATTGTTTGCATGTTGTTTTTTTGTGTTCCATTTAATTTGAATTTCTGCCACACTACTCCTTATTACTTTTGGTTTCTGAATGTGATTTTTCTACTGTATCCCTTTAGGCAATGTTAACTTTGCAAAAATCAATGTTTAGAGACAAGAGGTCCTGCAAATAATCCTGCACAGTGAACATTATGTCTCATTTTATGTCCTTCAAAATGATATTATTGTTGTAGGATTTTGCTTTGCCTGTATTTTAGTATTACTGTACAATATTAACAGACAAAAAAAATAAATGTAGAGAATATTTTTGAGGTCTCTGCAAATTTGGAAGAGTGAAAAAGGATTCACAAATCTAAGACACAACAGCTTGCAAACTGTTCTTTTTATATGAAAAACTATCAAATTTGCACAAATGGTTGTTTGCTCCTTTCGGAGACTGAAACAGAGAGAGAGATTATGTTGTAACATATGTTAATGTTGTCATCCACAGAAAGCATCAGGAAGATTATCGATAAATCATCTATAAAGTTTGTTCGTGGCATTAAGCTTGACACTAAAAATGGCAAAACAGAGGACAAAATTCTGGTAAGTTGCTGCTTTCTGCTTCCTCACTGCCGACTTGGCTGGTTTAATGGGTTCTGTCTTAGCACTGGTCTGCTGATGTAGAAGAAAAAGAATGCCATAAGCCTGCTACATAAGCAGCCTG